ACCCAACCTGTCTGCGCGCACAGCTCCATGAGGAACAGGGCTACTGACCTACCGCGTGGCACAGGGACCATATGATAGTATACCTTGATGGTAATGGAGCCAGATTTGGGCCAGTGCATTGGTAGCATCCTCAGCCAGACCAAGCCTCTCGGCCCCACTCGGACCCAACTTGTCTGCACGCACAGCTCCATGAGGAACAGGGCTACTGACCTACCGCTTGGCACAGGGACCATATGATAGTATACCTTGATGGTAATGGAGCCAGATTTGGGCCAGTGCATTGGTAGCATCCTCAGCCAGACTCGGACCCGGCCCCCCTCGGACCCAACCTGTCTGCGCGCACAGCTCCATGAGGAACAGGGCTACTGACCTACCGCGTGGCACACGGACCATATGATAGTATACCTTGATGGTAATGGAGCCAGATTTGGGCCAGTGCATTGGTAGCATCCTCAGCCAGACCAAGCCTCTCGGCCCCACTCGGACCCAACTTGTCTGCACGCACAGCTCCATGAGGAACAGGGCTACTGACCTACCGCTTGGCACAGGGCCCGTATGATAGTATACTGTGGTGGTAATGGAGCCAGATTTGGCCCAGTGCATCAGTAGCATCATCAGCCAGACCAAGCCTCTTGGCCCCACTCGGACCCAACTGTCTGCACGCACAGCTCCATGAGGAACAGGGCTACTGACCTACCGCTTGGCACAGGGACCGTATGATAGTATACCTTGATGGTAATCGAGCCAGATTTGGGCCAGTGCATTGGTAGCATCCTCAGCCAGACCAAGCCTCTTGGCCAGACTCGGACCCGGCCCCCCTCGGACCCAACCTGTCTGCGCGCACAGCTCCATGAGGAACAGGGCTACTGACCTACCGCTTGGCACAGGGACCATATGATAGTATACCTTGATGGTAATGGAGCCAGATTTGGGCCAGTGCATTGGTAGCATCCTCAGCCAGACCAAGCCTCTCGGCCCCACTCGGACCCAACTTGTCTGCACGCACAGCTCCATGAGGAACAGGGCTACTGACCTACCGCTTGGCACAGGGCCCGTATGATAGTATACCGTGATGGTAATGGAGCCAGATTTGGGCCAGTGCATTGGTAGCATCCTCAGCCAGACCAAGCCTCTCGGCCCCCCTCGGACCCAACCCGTCTGCGCGCACAGCTCCATGAGAAACAGGGCTACTGACCTACCGCTTGGCACAGGGACCCTATGATAGTATACCGTGATGGTAATGGAGCCAGATTTGGCCCAGTCTCTCAGTAGCATCATCAGCCAGACCAAGCCTCTCGGCCCCCGTTGGACCCAACCCGTCTGCGCGCACAGCTCCATGAGAAACAGGGCTACCAACCTACCGCTTGGCACAGGGACCATATGATAGTATACCATGATGGTAATGGAGCCAGATTTGGGCCAGTGCATCAGTAGCGTCATCGAGCCAGACCAAGCCTTCTCGGCCCCCCCTCGGACCCAACCCGTCTGCGCGCACAGCTCCATGAGGAACAGGGCTACCGACCTACCGCTTGGCACAGGGACCATATGATAGTATACTGTGATGGTAATGGAGCCAGATTTGGGCCAGTGCATTGGTAGCATCCTCAGCCAGACCAAGCCTCTCGGCCCCACTCGGACCCAACTTGTCTGCACGCACAGCTCCATGAGGAACAGGGCTACTGACCTACCGCTTGGCCCAGGGCCCGTATGATAGTATACCGTGATGGTAATGGAGCCAGATTTGGGCCAGTGCATTGGTAGCATCCTCAGCCAGACCAAGCCTCTCGGCCCCCCTCGGACCCAACCCGTCTGCGCGCACAGCTCCATGAGAAACAGGGCTACTGACCTACCGCTTGGCACAGGGACCCTATGATAGTATACCGTGATGGTAATGGAGCCAGATTTGGCCCAGTCTCTCAGTAGCATCCTCAG